TGGCAGCCTCCCAGGGCTGGCAGAGCCGCTCGCTCCCATTGTCACAGGCTAACATAGCGAGCTCGGAGCCCGAGGAATGCAACTCATTATGGTCTGCAAAAGTTAATGGAAAGGGAATGTTCTCAGTCATATTCCGCTTGTTCTCACAGTGCTTAGGGGTTCCTTTCCCCTTGGTTAATTCAGGCTTGGTATTATCTGCAACAGGAAAGAAACAGAGAGACATGAGCATCTGCAAGGGTTGTCAGAAAGGCATTTGTTGATGGCAGTTCAAAAAGGCAACAGCTTCAAGTGGAAAAGGGCCACCATGCCTCCAGCCAGCACAACTTGCTACTGGCAAGTAATTGGCAGGAGTGGGCAGGAAAATATGCCCCTCGCTTCATCCAGTGGTGACCAGGGCAGGCCAGGAGCGTGGCCCTGCTCTTTCTACCAGGCGGATACTGAGGCACTATCCCCAGGTGCCCCCTGTCCACTAAAAGCAGGGACCTGTTGCTGGAGTAGGGGAAAAAGGAGCAAGATTTTTTTTAACACCTTTAAGTGCCTATGATGTGCCAATCTGTATGAATCTTCCTACTGTAACAGCTTCCTCCCTGCCAGAGTAACACTTTTCCTCAACACAAAAATACTGCTGAAGGGTGTCATTAGTTGATGGTTAGGACTCTGGAAAATGTATCCTTTCTGAATATCCCATGAGAGGCTCTCTCAGCAGGACAACGGAAGGACACTGTATTGCACCAGACAAATGAGACATACAGCTTTTTGATGAAAAGAGACACCTTATTTTTGAACATGGCCATTGATGCAAAAGCTGACAGTCTTGGAAGCATCGTGCTCAGTCGTGGGGCGTGGACCACACGAGCTCTTCTCCACTGTAATCCCTACAACTAAAATCAAGCGACCACAGCACCATCAGAAATTACCTGTGGAAGCACTGGGGCATGGTAACAGATGATTCTGTTTTACAAGACAGTGGGTGTCTTTGAGCAGGGAGCATGGGAACCTGGATTTTGTTCCTATCATCTCATGTCTCAGGCAGACTCATTTAAATTTTATGTCTCAGACTCCCTCTCTTTAAATCAGGGACACTTCACCTCCAAGAGGCTGTGAAGGTGCCAAAAGGTTTGCACCAGGCACTGTGACTTGCTGAGCTCCAGCTCTCATCAGCAGTAAAATCATTCCCTGCCCTTTCAGCGCTGGTTCTTCACAACACGAGGGGCTGGGTTCTGGTTGCCTCCACTCTTCCAACTCCTGCCACTGCGGAGGCAGGAAGATATCAGCGGTCTGTCCCGCTGTCCCCAGTTTTTCTGCAGCTGGGCAAGGAGCAAGGGAGAGGTGGGATTTGAACCCACCTCCCTCTCTGTGATCTGGTTATGGACAGATCCATGTTGAGATGCTGCCTGATCAGGACCTATCCATGTGGGAAGCCCAATTCCAGAGATGACTTTAGCCCAAATCCACAGCACAGGCAAAGCCCAGCCTGAAACCCGGATCTGCCCCTCTCCCCGTGCCCTGTGCCCTGCAGCTGGGAGATGCACTGGGCTTGCAAGGAAACATGCAAGGAAACACTCAAGGTTACACATGACACAGACATGTGTCTGAGACAACACGGGCAGTTTTACCTCTTCTCCACGTGCATCAGTGTGCATCCCCCACAGCCACAGTCAGTGCAGCATCACTACGAGCAGCCCGGCTCTTCCAACAGATGCACAAACCCTTCCTGCAGCAGGGGACCACAGAAAGTGAGAAACAGGTCAGACAGCAGAACCCCACTGAGCTTCTGTCACCCTGGTGCTGATTCAGCTCAAGCTGTTTTCCAGAACCATCCCCTGGCTGCTGTTTGGAAGATACTACTGATGGTCTTTTCTCTACACACATTGGTCCTTCCTGGCTTTGCTGGGCTCTTTTCATTGCAGGATCCAGCAAAAAGTTGCTGGTAAACCCAATGAATGTCCAATTTCATCAACTAGATCTACAGATAGAGACATCTGGCTTGCAGATGGATTCCCCCCAACAGTCCTAAAGAATGAAGTTCAAGCTCTGGAGCAAGTTGTAAGAAAAATCTGAACTATCAATACAATTTATGTAGTAAAGTTCTCTTTGCAGTGTGTGTTGTGCAAGGCAGACTGGCAAGGGGCAGTGATGCCTCTCTGTGGTGACCACAGGCCAGAGGAGCACGACTGATCACTAGGCCAGTGACATGGGATGTGCAGACCTACAGATAACTGCCTGAGCTAGTGGGCCAAGACAAACGCACGGGGCTGCGCTGCCTGTACCGTGTTGGATGTCCCCGCAGTCTGAGGGAATCATGGACATGTCCCCCACTCTCCAGTGGCCAGAAGGGGTCTGTAGAGGAGGTGGGCAGCAGATGTCTATGTCACTGATGCATCAAGCCCCATGCAGTGGAAACTCCTCATGCCCTCTCTCGCCCCCACGACCCTTCAACACCCTTGGCAGTATCTCTCTCAGGTGACATATGCATCTCCTAAAGGGGGAAAGTGCCCATCTTCCTGGGACATCCCACACATCAGCCTCCCCAGAGTGCAACAACGCACCTGCAGGTAGCCCATCCTTGAAGGCTTGTTGGTATAAATACATGGAAGTACAGGGAGATTCAGGAGCCAGCCTAAGACAGGCCTTGACAAATCCCTAATACAGTCCTCAGGTTCACACACGTTCACAAGGTTCACCAGTCTCATCTTGCCTGTTCCTCTACCATTCTAAAAGGAAAGGCCTACATACATCTGATCCACTGAATCCAGCATGGAAAACTAGGCCCAAGCACTTGGCTTTCCTGTGCACCAAGAGCAGACCCAAGCCAATGTAATACCCTCAAGGAATTTTCCTGCAAAACTATGAAAACTTCCCCAAACATGACCACACTGCAATCTTGGGTTACGCTAAAAACCTAATATAGCCAAATTTGAACACTTTCCCATGGTAGGGGTGTAATTCAGACTTGCAACACAGTGCCAAAACTAAATCTTTGGAGAAACTTTTCCAGCACTGCATGGTCGGCCTTTTCTTAATGTGAGCTGAACAAAGTAGGCTTGTTTTGTGTGTGTGTTTTTTTCCAAATCTAATTTTTTAAATCAGCCAAATTGTTTAGGCTGACATTCTCCTCCTCCCAACAACCCATCCAAAAACTTCAGCAGAAACCAGACACCATCCAAGATAAGTTCTGGTCAAGTAGTTAGGCTTAACACAGCTACATGCATCTGAAACACAGGAAGCTAAATGCGGTTGGGAGATGGGGCTGTGCAGTGAGAAATATTAGCAAATCGAAATAATTGTGAACACTTCCCCTTCTCTCCTAACTGTAATCTGCTTATTAGCATTGTTAGTATCAATAAACCAACATTATTGTTATGATGGAGCAAAACCTACTGCATTATGCTTACTATGTTTTACTCTTTGCAAAGTCTAACTGGAACATTGATGGTTTGGAAGACAGCCTGAAGAGCCAGTTAGTCGCTGTTAATCCCTTGGGCATGCTGTTCCTTGGGCTGGACTTCCGCCTGAGAAGAGATCCCAAGGAAGCCCAGGGAGAACGCAGGAACAGACCATTACTGAGCCAGTAGGACCATGAGTCCTCAGGCTCCACTGCCCTGGCATTAGCAGAGCCAGGAGCAGCGGGCTGTGTCTCCTGCAGCCCCCTGACCCCTTCAGTTGGGTCCATTTCCATTGCACACACATGGCTGGAAGCTGAAGTCTGCTGGCAACCATGAGCACATCAACCCATGGCAAACTACCCAACACGTCATGACCTACCAGACCTAGGCTTGCAGCAATGGCCCAGGTTACAGGCAACTGAGGCTCCCCAGCAGCTCCAGACAAATGGCTGGATTGTAACAGCCTGGGGCTCAGCTCCAGCCACCCATGGCCATGGCTCACACAGAAGGTCGGGCCAGCAGCTACCACACCCAGGCCAGTATGTCCTGTGTGAGCTTCATAGCACCTCTCCTGCTCCAGGACCCAATGAGCTGCTGATATGTTGTAGGGCTAATCTGCAAGCCTCCCCGAGCTGGGTTGGGTGCATGGACAAGGGGAAGAGGAAGTGTCCTGGGGTGCCACAACTTGGACCTGGAGAAAGAGCAAAGAGAACAGAGGGGCTGGATGGGATGTAAATCCAGGCTGAAGTACCTGTCCCCATTGGCATGACTGCCCACGTCTGTCTCCAGCAGTAGCTGGAAGGCTGTCACTACCCTGCTTGTTACCAAAGCAGCCGTACCATCCAGCAGGCCGTTGGGTGAGCACACACCAAAGCACCTCGTGGGGCTGGAATTATGACAGCTCCTTTCCATCGCCCCAAAGCCAGACAGGAAGCTGGGCCGGACCATGGTTTCTATTGCAACCTGGTGTTCCCCATGCTTGTCCCCATGTCCATGCTTGTTTCTTCTTGGTTGTACTCGGCAAAGAACTCTCTGGCTGAAGGCTGCACAGGTAAGGGCTGGGGAGTAATCTGAGTTCCACCACTGTTTTTTCACATCACTATTACCCTTGTCCTTCCTGCAGCCTCAGGCAGCCCCGGTCGCTTTCCTAGGCCCTGACAGTAGTACATGGGCATCCAATCCTTGGCTTCCAGCCTCCAGCAAACACTGCAGTTTAGCAGGCAAAAAGAGGGCTGACAATAAAAGCCAGTGACCTTGTGTACCCCCAGGCCAGGACTGGCCATGCCGAAGACAGCTCTGCAGAGACACCTGTTCAGCTACCGTTCCTTAATTTGTTTGTCTTGAGTCCTTCCTCAGAGAAGAGTATCGCAGAGCAAAGGCTGGCTCATGATTCTGCATTACATTTTATTATCATAATCTATTTAATATTTATTTATTGTATTAGGGATGTTAACGACAGCACCATTTACTTCAATAGATGCTGTGTTAATGTGGAGGTACCCTTGCTCAGTAAATTTATCTGTAGTCTGTAGGGACCCAGCAATGAGTAAGACGCAAACTCCAGCAGCCAGAGGGAATAAGGATGCACCCATCCATCGTCCAGGCACAGACAAGCTCTGCAAAG